CCCCGCCCCCTCACCGGGTTCCTCATGAGCCTCTCTAGCTTGAGGCGCTGCTCTTCCGCGGCGTTGCGCGGGATGACCAGCGGCTGCGGCTCCTTCCGGGGCCGAGAGGGCCGCGTCGTTCCGGCCGCCATCCTGGAGGACCACCTCCGCCCGCGGTTCCCCCCTCCCTCGCCTCTCAAACACCGGTCGGCGGACCGACCCACCGGCCGCCCCCCGCGCGGATCCCTTTCCCCGGCGCCAAAGGCCGCGGCCCCGACCGATGACGTCAGCGAGGGCGACGGTCAAAGACGCTCCTCTGGAGGCGGGGGCGGCGGGGCCTCCAAGCCCCGCCTCTTTCCTTCCTCTACATACACCGCCCCTTGAGCGGTACATATATTCATGAGTGCTTATAAATATTAATAAGGAGGCGGAGGAAAACTAGCCTGCCGGAAAATGGCGCTTGCCCTCGCTTCTGAGGCGGCTCGGCGACGGCAAGATTTCCCACAATGCCTTGCGAAGGCGGGAGATACAGATTTTTTGAGGGTCGTCATTCTTGAGGCATTTTTAGTTTTCAATAAATAACTATTTTTAATGCAGTTTCATTTCGCTTCGAAATGTAAAAATAGTCTCCGCGCTCCCGTTTAGATATACGTGACCGTGAAGAGTTAATGAATACATTGAATTATATGGAATGAATGTACGTATTCAGTTCAAAAATGTAAGGAATAAATTAGGATTTAGGGTGGAGAGCAGCCCCTAAAACTCTTCAACGTATGTGGTTAAACTTTTTGCTGTGTGAGAACTGGGACACAATCTGCAATATACGTTTTTTAAACTTGTTCCCTGCCTTGTAAAAGTATGATTTGAAAAGTATTTTGTAAACAATTGTACCTAGAAAACACTGTTAATAACACAGGATTATTATTATTTCAGTTGTAAAAATTTAAAATGGATGTGAACGTTGGTCAGCAAAAGGAAAAAACGAATTTATTTGAGTTCTGTGGGTTAAGAGATATTTAGGGATCATGGATGCCTGAAAGAAAATATAACTGCTCTAGAGCAAATTTAGCCTGGATGCTCAAGAAAGACTACAATGAATAAATGGAAAATATTGCATTTTGGGCCCATCAGAGAAGACAAGGTTGCCTAGAAAAGAATGCTAGGAAAAGGGGGACGGAGCAGGAAAAGAGGAAAACACGACATGAGATGGACTGACTCAATGGAGGAAGCCATGGGCTTGAGTTGGCAAGAGCTGAAAGGGCCTTTTAGAGGTCGTTAATTTGAAGGGCTAACGTATGAAGTGACTAGATGGGACAGGAGAAACGGAAAAGCATCTGACAAAGTGGGCCTGTCCACAAAAACTCACATTAAAATATAATACTTTAGAGTAGTTTGTCTTTTAAGGGGCCCACCTGTTTTTGTCTTTGATTTTGTGTGTTTGTTTCTTTGGATTTCATCTGATATAGTACAGTAAAAGCATGAGTCACTCTGGCTCTCTGAATCTCAGGATGAATTGCCTTGAAGGAGGACGAGCACTGATTTTATCCCCCCTCTTTTATCCAAGGTGAGATTACAGCTTGAGCCTCCATCTGGGCTCATAGCCCAGCCTGGTGACTCAGAAGGTGTCAGCGTGGGTTTTGCCCTCATGCCGCAGCCTCAAACCCATCCTCAGGAGTGACCGTGGGTAACGCAACTGGGAAGAGAGTTGGCGGTTCCATACACTTGGGCCCATTGCACCGTCTGGACCGAGTGGACAGTGGAGCACCATCATCGCAGCTTGTGAGCCTTCTTGGGACACCAGCCCAAGATGCTGCAGGAAGACAACAGAGTGGGAGCTAATCTAGTCTTCCGGTGCAGGGAGTTCCAGCGCCTCGGAGTGGCCACCAAGAGACTTTTCTCTTGACTCTACCACACACGCTTCTGAAGACCAAGAGAAGGACCATCTCTGTGAAGACTAAGCCAGTCTCGTGTTGATAAATGCAGGCTTCCAAGGAAACAGGATCAAAGTTGAAAATGACTTTAAAAGCTGCATTATTGAATTTAATTGTTCCTGGAAAGAGACCAACAGTCGGTGAAACCACTGTTATCAAGAAATTCTTGCACGGTCACATTTAAGGGAACTGCATGCAAAAACTTTCTCTTCTAATCATCCTCAGGATTTTACAGTGTGTGTGGATGTTACCGATGTTGATCTGTAACAGTGTTTTCTCACTTTGCTTTCTTTTAAAATTACATTTTTCTTTATCACAGGAAGCAGATCTCGGGATTAAAGTTAAAAAAAAAGGCAGCACGATACCAATGTTATGAACTGTCCGTCTTGAAGTATTCTAGTCACCACAGAAAATATCGTTTTCCACTGAGGTGCAGTAATTTTCAAACTTGTGTCCAAAGGAATCTAGCCTCTTCAAAAGGTTATCAGGAGTCCTGAATGAGAAACAGGAGTGATAACGGCACACACCATTTTCCTCCAGAACCAGAGATCTTGTTAGAGACCCTCAGAGTTGGCTGTGCTCCTGTGCAGGACACTGGATTTCCACGGTGGGTAAGTTTCTTGCAGAAAAAAAGTGTATGTATGTGGGGAAATAATTAAATTGCTGAATTTTAGGCACACAAGGAACTTTTGAGATCCTACAGTCTAACCGTGGCCTAGTTCAAGAATCTTAGTGCAAAAGAATCTATGACCTATGGCGGTCTACCCAAATGCAGCCATTTCTACTGTTCCCACAATACCTTGTTTATACGACATGCTCTTCCTTTTTCATACAACTAGACCAGCTGTAAAACAGAAACAGACTTTTCTGACCAACACAAAACAGATTTTCTGGAATTGCTCCAGAAGGCTAATAATAATAAAAATAAATCTAAACCTTGGCATTCCAACCCCAAACCAGACAGACAGGAATCCATTGTTAAGATGTGTTTCAGCTTGCCAATGCTGTTATTCTTCTTTAATAACTACAATTACCAAGAGGGCTGGGAATATTGCATGGAGCCTCCAACCTCCTGCAGCAATTGCCAAGGCGGCGCTCCAAAGCATACAGATTGTGTTCCTTTGACTTACTTCTGCTTCCTTTGTTTTTCCTTTCATGATTCGGGGTTTCGAAACACGGAGTCTGCTTGGCGTTTTTAAATTAATTGGGAAAGGAAATCCCCAGTATTTTCTGCCCAAGCGGTGCAAAAACATCTTCACATTTTGTAAATCCAGTCTTCAACGGCACTCACTAGAAGTACTTTTGTCCATCAGGGGGCACTAGCACACTTTAAAAAATAGATACAAGGAATTGCAGAGTTTAAAAATGTACATTTTTTTAAAAAAAGTACCCATTTCTTACAGAATAACCTAGATCTGTTAAGTTCTGACAATAGATTCCCTTCATCCTCTAGCTACTGTCACAGTTAACCAAAAAGGTGAAATTATTTTTAGAAGCGCTAGAACTCAGGAAAATGGAAACATAAACCCATCTAATATTTAGGGGGAAATCATACCTTGATATCCCCAAGCTCCATTATTTCCAATAATTTCCCACTTCCATTCTGCTGACTGATCTTTCCTGACTAATCATTCCTGGATGACTAGCAAAACATTTTTATTCTGCTGAAATTTTGTTTCATAAAAACTGCCAAGGATATCCCATCTATACTTCTCATGTTTCTACAAGTATCCGCCATCATACTTTCTGCTTTAAATACATCCTCAATGCTGACTAGAAACTACTTTCTGTATTTATTTCACAGCAGGGCAATTCTGTCCCTTCCTCAAACATCACAGAATTACAGTTTGCAAGGTTGCTAAGCAGAAACAGAATACTAAATTAGTTGGTGCCTGAAATATAGATATGATTTTTTAAACACACCAAGACCCGTAACAAACCTCCTAACAACTCCTGCATTAATATTTTCTTGGAGGTGGAAAAACAGTGTTTTCATTAAGTTACTTTTTGCTAAACTTGTTTTATTCCCCCCCTCCACTGTGTAAAAAAAAGAAAAGATTAAAAAGAAAAGAAATCCAGAACACAGTTATTTTTCCAGTTCTTTTCCAGGTTTCTTTTGTAAATAAAATTTATTCTACATCACATTAAAACTTCTTCACATTTTAAAAAATTGTATTTACAAATTAACATTTCACTCGCAGCTGTTTGAGGTCTTCGTTTTCCCACTTTTGTTCCGATTGGCACAGAATAAACGCATAGGGGGCAGTGAAATTTCTCACCCTTGTCATCCACCTCTCCAGCACTTCTGATCTGACGACTCTCCAGAGAGGAGGACTGACTCCAGTGATAGAGTCTGTTGGTCTAATAAAGGCAACAAAAAGCCTTGGCTCTTCTACTGCAGTGGTCCCCAATCTTGCATCCCCAGATATTCCTGGACTACAACTCCCAGAAACCCTGGCCACCAGTGGCAAAGGCTTTTGAGAGTCCAAGAACATCTGGAGAGCCAAGGTCGGGAATTACTGCTCGAGGGAAATGGAAAGGTGTGTGATACAAGTATTCTTCCCTTGATTCCTATCCCAGCGTGTAAGTGTCAGGTCCCAAAACCTTTTTGGAAGGTTAAATCTCCCATACGATGAGGCTTCAGGGCTTTGAGCCACGGGAGAAACAGCTATGCCCTTGCTTTGAAGAAAATTCCGCTGTATGGCATGGTCATTCTCCCAATAATTATGGGCCATCTCCCTTCTCTGATCTGCTTGACCATCACGGCAGATGAAGAGATGAAGGTCCAGAACCCCAACACATAATTTTGAGCCTTAAAATAAGTCCTTAAGAGAAATATTACCACAGGTGGGATTTTGCACTCCATCCCTGCCTTACAGCTAATAGGAGTGTTCTAGTTGTTTATACAGTATATGTGTAATAATTGCCTTTCTTAATGGAATTTTATGAGAAGTCTAGGAGGCATATTCAGATGTTTCCCAATCCCCTTTCCCACCCTTTTTCTTTGCCAGAGACGCCTGTTGTGGGAGAGAGTTGCTGAACAACACTTTTAGATAGTGATACCCACCCACCCCCATCTGAAAGCACTTTTTAATATTCTAAGGGTACAATTTGTAATGGTTGTGTGTTTCTGTTTTCTTAAAAGAAGAGCAATGAGGCAGCATCTACCAAAGATATTGCTTCCTTTCAGATTTCCCAGGGATCAGAACCCATAGTAAGCATAGGAGGTGTATGCACAGGATGTGTGTGTAGGATTTCACTGATTTAGGACATGTTGCTTTGCATATTAAGTTCTCAAAACTGTGGTGCTGTTTTGTCTGCTGAAAAAATAATGGGGTAGTCAATCAATTGCTCCTGAATTTGCAACGACCATTTAGGCAGAACAACCAAAGTTAACAATTTGGGCCAGTCCAGTTTTTTGGTTTTGTTAATGTCTTAACAAAATTACTGTATCTCAGTGGGTTGTCTTTCACTGCATAACCTTTTTAGTGCAACTGCTAACATAACTTTTTGTACAGTATTCAAAACATTCCTATCCTTCAGACCTAAATTTAATTGCTATTCCCAACCACCCACAGAAGGAAGGGGACGTCTATAAGCACAGAGACTCAGCAGGCCCCATCCATTCAATGGCTGTATTCTAGTTGAGACCAACAAGTCAATTTAAGCCCCAGAACGTTCAAATTTTTTAAAAGTGTACAGACTCTGTACACTGCAGTCCAAAACAATCAACATTTCCAAACTCCGTAAATACAAGTATTTTAATATCACCCTTCTCATTTGTTCCAACTTTATCTACTTTTTTTCTTATTTTATGCAAGACCCTGTTCAGTAGAACTGCAAACATATTTCATGTTACTTCCCCCCAGACAAACCGATTTCTAAACTTGTTAGAAAGAACAAGCTAATTGCACCAACATACTGTTAGTATACAGTAAACCAGAACTTTCTGACAGTTTTGCCTCATAATTATGCGTGAACATTCCCAGAGATTTGTGAGAATCATTGCCCTCCATAGTAATATATTTCTCAGAAGCTGGTCTGCACAGAGCAGACCCAATGAAATCAACAAAGCTTAAGTTCAGTTGATGTCAGGATGAGGGGTCTGTCCAAAGCATAACTGGATCTGATCCAAGAATGGAAATATTGCATTTGTTTGTGATTCTCAGACATTCAATTTTACTCTTGAATGCACTGTGTAAACAGTGTAGAGCTGATAAATGCCTGAACTGATAACACACCCAAATATTTTGGGGTAACAGGAAGTTAAGTTATAACTCAGCCCTAAAACAGGAAACTGCAGGCAGTATATATCAATCACACCAGTGTTAAGTCTGCAGTCGGGTAGGTGGGTCTCAGGATGAAGCGGACCCAAGGTAAGGTCTCCCCCACTGACCCCTTTGCTCAAGTGTGCAAGTCATAAATTAATTTCTTGAGTAAACTTTGGAAGATGTGCCTTTCTGCAATTTGTTCTGGCCGTTTTATGCCACTTCTCCTTACATGGGCTGTAAAAGGCTAATACTCTTTTCGGCTGCAGTCATAAATAGGGTGGCTGAACAGAGTGGAATTTATTTCCAAGTAAACATCCACTGCACACATAGTGTCGATTCCAATACAGTCCCCTGGTTTCATTCCAGTTTTAGTATTACACACAGATGGTAAAGCAGTGTAAGGATTCTTACCCCACGTGCTCCCGCATCCTTATCTCTAGCCTCACACAGGTTTAGGCCACAGCCAGAAAGGTACAAGCCTCCAGAGAAGGGAGACATTGAGTCCAGTGTCAGGGGGTAGAAAATCCACTTCGGGTTTTCATCTGAACTTTAAGTGAGCTGCCCAAATTGCTGCACTTACTTCAGCAACATGGCTAAACCTCTTACAAAGTATGGACTAAAACCAGGGTGCCTTCACTGTGCCCCACGCCATCTGGGTCGTCATCACTCGCCTTCCACGCCTTCAGACGCTGCTGTACTACACCTCCCAGCAGCTCCAACCAGCACCAGTGCTCCCACAAGTTCTTGCTTGGTGAGTGGCAACCCAACGACCCATACTTGGTTTAGGCTCCCAAACGGAATCTGGCTCTCAGACTGGTCAATGGAAATAATGTGCTATTTGCAGATAAACTTTAATGCAATTAAGAGGGCTTCCCTCCCTCTGCCCAATTGTTTTCCCTTTTAGTTCTTTAATGATTTCAGTATTAAAGGGCTGTCTTAATCCCAAGCTCTTTTATCATTTTTATGGAAAGTGCATAGGTGTTTTAAGCAAATGAGACCTCAAAGTGTCTGTTAAAGTAAAAGCTGCCTCTTACCGTATCTCTTTCCTGCTGGGAGCTTTCATTCTCTGAGAGAAATTGACCATATACACTGACAGAACTTTAGAAAGAAGGACAAGTCTGCATCTCATGGTTTCCCCCCCCAGGAGTCCAGCTATTATGCAGCACTACTTATTTTACAGAGCCAATGTTTGAGGAAGAAGTGGGTGTTTGACACTTAAGGGAAACAATGTACAGGGCTTCCCTTTGTCAGAAAACCTGGCCGTGTCATCTAGGGAGGGAGTTGCCAATAAAACCTGAAAAATGCAGCGTCGTGTGTATTCCACCTTGCTGTCTCTCCTTCAGGGGAGATTACAAGAGAAATCCAATAAGGAGAGGCCGATGGAATTAAGAGGTCATGAAACACTTTCAAATCATCCGGGGCTAACTCACCGCGTGTCAGGGGAGAGGGGCTGACCATTCTCAACAGAGTGGGAGAAAGATTTGCAATTTCGAATGGTTAGGACAGCGACAGGACAGCTGCTTTACTCTGCTGAAATGGATAAATCCACTTTCAACCTCACACAGCTTTGCCTTCTGGCTGCCCAGATATAATGTCTATAAGAGAAATTGGATGTTTTGAACCCTCCTGTGTACCACGGACACTGACTAAAGCCAGGTTTGGTGGAAAATGCAACGGCAGCGCCCTGCTGTGTTTTGCAGCATGCTCTGTGCAAATTTAGTGTGCCTAACACAGAGTCTACTGCTAGCCCTCATACAGCTACACAGAAAGAGAGAGAGAAAGAGAAAGAGAGAGAAAAGAAAGAAAGAAAGAAAGAAAGAAAGAAAGAAAGAAAGAAAGAAAGAAAGAAAGAAAGAAAGAAAGAAAGAAAGAAAGAAAGAAAGAAAGAAAGAAAGAAAGAAAAGGGTTTAAGTCAGGAGTTTGGGATCATCGTACCTCATGCCTGGGTCTGGTCTGATGAACAGGGAAGGCCATCTTCAGATGACAAAGTGGGAAGAATCAAGGGGCAAGTGAAAGGGAGGTAAATTCTTTGCAGAGGAATGCCACAGAGATGGAACTGACTCACACACACATTCAGAGGCCAAGAGGACGGCAACAACTCCAAACATGACAGCAACCAACAACGAGGCTCAGCCCTCAATAGACCGTTCCGTGCTCTCAACTCCCCAACCCCCAGGAACTCTTCTGAAAGAAAACAAAACATAACCCAGTATGCTGAGAAAAAAAATCCCCGTTCTCTTCAGCAAGATCAGTAGAAAGAATATTGGTTTTCCACCGCTCTGGTTCTGTTGTTCCGGGAGCCTTCGCTCTCGTGGTAATCCTCTGCCCCGAGGGCAGATGAATCAAAGAGGCGCTCAGTGCTGTTGCTTCGGCTTCGAACGCTGAGAGTCCCCTCCATCCGATGGTAGAGCGAATGGCTGGCGGAGGAAGAGGAGGAGGAAGTGGTCCCCTCGGAAGGCGAAGCGGGCTGGAAGGTGACCGGAACAAAGCTGGAGAAATAGTGTTGGGTCTGGGGGTCATTTCTGCAAGGGAGCTGCTGGGAGGCAACCGCTGGGGAGGGGCTGACCTCTGTGGGTGGCAGAAAAGGATAAAAAAAGGGGTTAGTGAAACCGAGCAGACACCATGTGTTCATGTTCCTTGAAGACCCTAGCCTTAAAGTGCTGGGCATACCAAGATGCATTGCCATCTATTACGCCTGTGGGATGCTTCGATTTTTGGACTTCGATTCTCAGAATTCTCCATTCTGGGAGTTCTATCTGACAGACACACCCTTACAGTCACCTGAACAGGGAAAGGCCTAGGTGGAAGGCTTCACGGCCTAGCTTCCTGTTCAAAAACAAGCACCAAGGTAACTTCCCTTCTGGACAGGAAACTAGGCCATGAAGCTAGGCCTTTCTCCAAGGGAGTCACATCTCCGTTTCTGTAGGTGAGGGTCTGACAGGTGAAACTCCCAGAATGGGGAACTCTGCGAGCTGAAGTCCCAAAAATTCAAATGGCACGTCTTTATTGCGGCTCGTGTTCTGGGAGCTGCCCTGAGGAACCGGTTTGGTCAAAAGGCCACACATATATTTAAACAGAAAAGACTTTCAGGAGAAAGAATTTTGTTAGTCTGTGGCAGCAAAGCAACTACAAGTTTTACAGCATCTTAAAAACCGAGGCCAGAATTGTACTGGGAAGAACAGTGTGTGCAAGAGTAACCACACAAGCGGTGGGCTATCCTTCGTATAATCGGTTGTGCAACTCGTCGCACAGCCCACTTTCACAACCAGCACAGAACTGTGTGGTCAACTGAATAACCACCCACCAGAAAAGGGAAACAGTTTTCCCTTTCATCCACATGACCTCAACAGCATCTTGGTGTAATGAGTTTGGTTTGGCATTCGCTTCCATGGATTGCAGGCTTTCAACTGCATTTGGTTAAAGCAGGCTGCTCATGCCGAATAAAGCAAGTTTTTCAAGTTCCACAAGACTCTTTGTTATTTAAATAAAGACAGGAGCATTCTTGGAGATGAATTGCAACTTATTTTGTTGTTTTTATTCTGCAAAGCAACATGGAAACCGAAGATGCTGAACCATATTGTCCTGCCAACGTCTTAGCTTTACCAGCTCCAGCTGAGGGGAGGCAACAACAGAGAGGATTAAACTCACCAGGCAGTGGATTCTGGGCTACCACGTAGCTGCGGAGTGTTATGTCGGCCGAGCCACCCGACTCCAGGGGGATGGGATGCGTGTGAAAATGTCTTAGCATGTCAAAGATAGTCTGGAACCACAGATGCTGGACATGACACTGGCCGTTCTCATTCAAGGACAGGCGCAGGTGCTGTGAAAGATTACACAGGCAGAGATGTAATGTTATTGTTTTCAATTGACTAGTTACCATGCTTGCTACAGTTTCAACATAATCCATAACCATCATGTACGGGAAAAATCAAAGACCAAACATACTACGTACATCATATTGTTATGTCCTGATTCCACTAGTCATGTGTGTTTCCGATATCTTTATTTATCTATTTACTTATGTTTTTTTCTGAAAGAGCTCTTATTCCTACAAGAACTTTCTTGTCATTTGTTTTTATATGAGGGTAATGTTCATATCTGTCTCTATTCCAAGTCAAAAAACAATGGCATGTAGGTTAGCCTAGACAGACAAATTAAAAATGCAATCCTAGAACTGCACCCTCTGGATCATTGAGTCTAGTCCCTGTCAAGGAGGCACCGTGGGGATTCCAACTCCCAACCTCCGACTCCACAGCAAGAGACCTAAACCATTGAGCTATCCAACCAATTTTATTATTATTATTTGCAAAATTGCACAGGATTATTACAATTCCTGCATGGAGGAGCATCTTTCCCATACAATATATATATAGAAAAGACAGAAAAAAGCCCTTGCTGGATAGGATTGTTACCATTTCTGCATAGGAAATGTGCAGAATTCGCCAGAAAAGTTATTAAAGCACACCAAATTTGGCATTTTGATGTGAGGAACAACCGGTGTGAAAATGGGTGGGTGGGGATGGACGGAGGAGAGAGGACAGAGGTCTTGTTTTCATAGGAAATCAGACAAAATCTCAGTGAGGCATCTTAAAATGGCTAGATACAGAAAACTGCAGACAGTTGCAGAATCTGTAAATACATATCACATTTCTAGGCTGAGGGAAGGGTACCGACAAGTAGCAAGGAATTGCAAGTATAGCATTAGGAGGGCAAAAGCTGAGAATGAGCTGAGGCTAGCTAGAGACACTAAAAGCAACAAAGAGGCATTTTCAGATATGTGCCGAACAAAAGACAGAGAAAAGAAACTGGCTCATCTACTCAATGGAGATGGAAAATAACAACACAAGAAAAGGCAAAAGTGCTCAATTCCTATTTTATTTCAGTCTTTTCCGAAAGGACAAACTATGACCCTACAGACAAATGTGAAATGCAAGTGGAGGGGACAGGATTGCAGCGGGAGATTGATAAACAGATAGTCAAGGAACACCTTATTACCTAGATTGATTTCAAATCTCCAGGACTGGATGAACTACACCCAAGAGTAGTGGAGGAACTGGCTGAAGAATTCTCAGAACCGCTGTCCGTTATTTTCTTAAAATCATGGGAAATGGGTGAGGTGCCAGAGGATTGGAGGAGAACTCATGATGTCCCTATCTACATAAAGGGCAAAAAGGAGGAACCTGGGAACTACAATTAACCTTATATCAATACTTGAAAGGGAGACCTACAGAGGACGGTCAGGATCTGTTCTTGATAATTCCTGAGTGCAAGGACACACAACAATGGATTCAAGTTACAGAAAGCCAAAATTCTGTTGAAACATCAGGGAAAACTTCTGTTAGAGTAGTAAAGCAATGGAACCAATTACTTCGAGAGGTGGCGAGTGTTCCAATACTGGAGGCATCCAGAAGAAAATCGGACCACCTCTCTGTCTGATCTTCTTTGATTTAGATTCCTACACTGAGCAGGGGGTTGGACTCAATGGCCCTTCCAACTTCATACTCGACTTACGACCGTCCCTACTTATGACCATTTCAAGTTACGACCAGCTCCGGCCGCAAAATTTTGCTTCGACTTGCAACTGGAGCTTTCACTTACGACCAAAAATAGGCAGGGAAAGGGGGTGGGAAATTCAAATGTACTAACCGTTGGTGGCGAAGAGGCTGCTTCTTTATAGCTCTTTCGCCCCAATGGCTAGGGAAAGGGATAGATACAGCGGTGGGGGGAGGTGGGGCGGGGGCTTCCCTCGGCACTCCTTGCTGCCTTCCGCAGGCCAATGCCACCAATGCTGCCCAACGCCACCTCCAGCTCCAGAACTGGCACCAGCGGCTGCTCGCCGGGGCAGCTGCATCAGTCTTCAGTGCTTCTCGCCGCTCTCCGCGGGCCAATGTCGCTGATGCTGCTGGTTCCCTGGTGAGCAGCCGCTGGTGCCAGTTCTGGAGCTGGAGGCAGCATCGGCCCACGGAGGCGGCTTGGGACTGCCTGGTAAGGTAAGGTGCCGGTTTTTGGTTTTTAAAAACTGTTCTGGGTCGGTTTTGCAGGGCTGGGGAGGTTGTGTTTCTGTGGTGTGTTGTTTGTTTGTTTTTGGTGATTTTTTTGCAGTCCCAGCATGGGGCTTGCTCTCTTTATTTTTTATTTTTATTTTTTGAGGGTTATATTATTTTGCCGGAACAGATTAATCGTCTTCCCATGCATTCCTACGGGAATATCCGTTTCGACTTACATTCCATCTTCTGGAGCGGATTATGGCCGTAAGTCGAGGCACCACTGTAATTCTTTGATTCTAGTGCTCACATTTCTCCTTTCCATTGAGAAATACCTATTTCTGAACCAAGATGTACGAAGTATTATATTCTTTTTTGTGTTTCTTGTATTTCTCATCCTCTTTTGTGCCAAAATTCCCAGAATGGCTTCAACGGATGTTTGAAGACAGACTTCCTGTGGTCACCCCAGTGTGAGATTAATGTTTTGGCTGACTAATATCTAGATCAGAGAATGGGGCGTGGGGGGGGGTTAGGATGGGGGAGCTTGGACCTGTTCACTGTATCTACAATCAGAGAACAGAAAGTAGAACTGCTATTTTAAGGAACACCTTTTTAAAAAAATGCAAACCACAGCACACCTTGGATGGCAGCAGCAGCAGCAACAACAAGAAAAAAAAAAAGGACAAGAGAAAAACGGAAATGATATTGATCTGCTGGTATCCTGTCTCGGTCCCAAAGATGCAAACGCTGCAGGCTTCTGTCTTCTCTAGGCATGGAGAGACATGGTCTATGTTCTCCAACCACCCGAAGCCATGCCCGAAAGCCAAAGGCCCCCTCATTTCCAGAACAAAGGGCGATATTCCCACTGCTACTCTTTTGTCGACGGATCATGGCAAAGCCTGTGTGTCTTGAAAGCTTGGCTGCTTCCCACCACCTAGCAGGCACACCACTTTTCACGCCAGGCAATGATCAAACCACCGTTGGACATCGTGGTTTTTGGTGGTGGTTCCTAAGCTTTGAGCAGTTTACTGTTTCACGCCTGTCCTCAGACCAGCTGCCACGCTCCTAACCAGATGACTTCCTCCACCCTTCCGCCTCCCTGCAGCAAAATCCAACTCTGTTTTTGGCAGGTAACCCAAATACGTCACTGGCAATGGGGTGCAGTAAAAGAGACTGAACTGCGGACCAGAAATTTGACGCCTCTCCCTCGCCTTAAAAATTTTCCAGGCAAAATGAAACCTAAGAGAAGTACAATCTCTGTAGCTACTGGGGTTTCTAAGTGGAAGTAAGGAGTCATCTTAAATGGTTAAGGGGAATGCATGTTCCTTAGGAGGAACCTTTTTTCCTTCTCGCAATGTGATTTCTTTAGAGATAATAGATATTATGGAGGGGGTGCTAGTTCCCCCTCTATTCAGCACTGGCTAGGCGTCACCTTGACTATTGTGTCCAGTTCTGGACACCGCACTTCAAGAAGGACGCTAACAAATTGGAACAAGTTCAGAGGAGGGCAACAAGGATGATCAGGGGACTGGAAAACAAGCCTTGTGATGAAAGGCTGAAAGAACTGGACATGTTTAGCCCTGAGAAAAGAAGGCTGAGGGGTGATATGATAGCACTTTTCAAATATTTGAAAGAGAAGGTGCAGGATCTGTTCTCGATCATCTCAGAGGGCAGGATACGCAACAATGGGCTCAAAGGAAGCCAGATTTCGATTGAATATCAGGAAAAACTTCCTAACTGTTAGAGCAGTACAACAGTGGAACCACTTACCTCGGGAGTTGGTGAGTGCTCCAATACTGGAGGCATTCAAGAAAAACTTGGATAATCACCTGGCAGATACGCTTTGATTGTATTCCTGCATTGAGCAGGGGGTTGGACTTCATGGCCTTATAGGCCCCCTTCCAACGTAACTTTTCTATGATTCTATGATTAAGAGTCAAATGTGCAAATTAAGCCCTTTTAATGTAAAGATAAAGGTAAAGGTTCCCCTTGACAATTTTTTGTCCAGTCGTGTCCGACTCTAGGGGGCGGCGCTCATCCCGCTCTTCAAGCCATAGAGCCAGCGTATGTGCAAATTAAGCCCTTTTAATGACCAATCACTAAACAAAGGATACTATATGAAAGATAAGTAGACAAGGAAAATCACATGCTATGACAATCAGAGGTCTTTTGTCCCTTGAATGAGCACCTCTGCAAGAATTTGATTAAAAGAACCTTAAAATGTGATAATTATATGTTTTAGCATGATCCCAAAAAAATCATTCATTCAAGAACAAAGGGGTCACTTGCCTTGGCTTTACCCTGGAAGTTGAAAGTCAGCACATATTCACCCGGCCGTGTTTCACTCTGCCGAATAACAAATAATCCGTGGCTTCTGGCTCCGCCAAACAGCACCAGTTGAGCAGCTTTGACCCGCGAGAGCGTCCCATGGAACCAAGGATAATCCACCAGGTTGAGCTCTGCTTCTGTCTCACCCTCCTCCCCTGTCGCAGTAGGGGAACAAACCAAGTCAGACGCACAAAATAAATCTTTGCCCTGAACACTGGAAATTGGGGGATGAACTGCAAGCATCACGTTTATGAGTTCTGTCTAAATGCAAACAGGATTGCTCTGAGAAAAGACAAGGCTTTGACCAGAGCAGGGGGATGAGCAGGAAAGACTGTGGGTCTTTCCATACATTTAGGATCCTAAACCCATATACAGTGGTGCCCCGCATGACAATAATAATCCGTTCTGTAAAAATTGCTGTACAGCGAAATTGTCGTCATGCAGAAAAAGAAACCATTGGAATGCAATGAAAACTGGTCAATGCATCCCAATAGGGGAAATACCTGATTGTCCTGCGAAGATCCTCCATGGGGCGCCCATTTTGCGATCCCTGTCTTGTGAAAGTAGGTCAGCAAAACAAGTTCATTAAGAATTGAGTGCTTGTATTCTTTCATTTTAAGATCTGAAAGCATGTCCATGAAGTCAAAAATGACACAGCACTGCTGAAGTTTCTTTAGGAACTTTGTGACCTCTTCTGCCTGGCTTTTCTGACGGACTTCCGAGAAGATCCGTCTACTTTATCCACTGATGCGAACAACGGTTCGTGAAGCAGGGATCTAATCGACGTAAAGTGAAAAAAAACCCATAGGAACCATTGTTTTGCGATCGCTATAGCGATCACAAAAAAGTCATCATCAAGCAATTTCATTGTCATGCGGAGTTGTCGTAATGCGGGGCACCACTGTATGTGACTCAGTTGTCATGCGGAGTTGTAATGCGGGGCACCACTGTATGTGACTCACAAAGACCACTTGCGGCCCATGCTGGCTCTCTACAAGGAAGCAATGATGTTTGTTAAACACATCATATGCGTTTGCTCTTCTCACCTTTTAAAGAGACACCCTTGAAAATGCCATAACTGGTGCAGTGGACAGAGTGACAGACTAGGATATATGTGTTTGCTCTTCTCACCCTTGAAAATGCCATATCTGGTGCAGTGGACAGAGTGATAGACTAGGACTCAGAAGGCCCGAGTTCAAATCCTCGCTCACCCATGGGGGTTCACTGAGGTTATAGAACTGGTAAAACTACTCTTTAGAAACCTCACTTACCTTGAAAAACCCTATTAGGGTCGCTATAATTTGGTTTTGACTTAGTAACAACACATAGTAACGACAATTCAGTAGTTGCTCCAAGATCTCTCCTCTAAAACAGAGGACTCGGCCTTGGTCTTTTATAGTGGGAGCTCCCCAGGAATTGCTAATGAAACCTGAACCTCAGCAAAACTGACTGTTTGGCACTGTGTGGTTCAACCCGTTCTATGAAATGCACAGAGCTTGAAACACCTTTGGAAATGGTTTCTTCAAAAGAGGCATTGCACGTTTTGCAAAAGAAGAAGGGAGAAGAGTAAATAGACGAATCCTCTTAAGCTGTCAAGAAGGAGGGGGAAACAGCAGTGTGCAAACCCTGGAAAAATTCTACAAACAGTCGTGGGTTGTGCCTTTCTTGGAGCACGTAAGTATCAGGGATGTTGGCAAGTCCAAGTCAGAGCCTTTCATACCAAGTCCTGAGACCCAAGAAGTCTGAGTCCCTATTAAAAATAAGTTTGCCCCCCCCCAGGAAAAAAAAGGAGGGGTGGGTGGGTTCCGAGTCAGGAGTGAAGTTTGAGTCATTTAAAAAAAAGAAAACTCAAGTCAAGTCCCTGGGGCAACTTAAGTCCAACCTGATAGAGTCCTACAACTTAAGGAAGTCCCCTCTCCCTGAAAAATATTGTAAATGGATGAAGCTTCCGAATCATGCCAGTCTTCAGGAAGTTGGACATGGCAGGGTAGAGCGGGGAAGCGACAAAGCCCAAGAATCATCCTGACTCGATGCCGAAGTTTCAAGTAGATAAAAGTGAAGTTCCAGAAGAAAAGCTCCCACGTTCAACAGTTTGTGAGGATCCCCAGCCTCTCTCTGTCAATGCTGGTGGAGAAAAGCAATTCGTTCTGCATCTTGTAAGGTGAAATCCAGGTACGCCCGACTCAAAGTGTGCCTGCTTCTGGAGTTTTAGTGGTCCCCGAAATACATCATCTGATTTCTGAAGTGCCAAGTAGGAAAACACAAACACGCACAACCCCGGCCCAAAACGAAATGCTATTTCAGCTATTTCAATTGTGAAAAGGAGTCACCTGTTGAATGGCCACCTGTAGATGGTGAGTCCAGCGTCTGCAGGAAGTTTTCCAGTGGCACATGGGCTCTGTATTCTGCTGAATCCCTTGACCTGCCATGGGGGGCAGTGACGACAGTAGCAGGACTGGGAGTCATGTCTGGAAGGGCCACAGAGCTTCCACATCTGTCTTGGAAGCGGGACACATCTAGAAAACAAATTCCACAGCTGCAGAAGGAAATATTCAATATTCCCTTTGGCCTCCCTCTTTCTGCAGAATGGCTCATAGATTAGATAATTTCATTTAAATCCTGTCTCCTTTTTGTAGTAACCCTGGTGGTTTCCATGCAGATTTTAGTTTTTTTCTTAAATACACAGTTTCCAAAAGTAAAATATACCATAATTCTCCAGTGTTATCAGGCCACTGACAGAGCGTAGACTTATTTTCATACCTTTTTACATTTTTTTAGCTCAAAGCTTTAAAAGTCAAAGATATACATTGTTGTTGTTGTTGTTGTTTAGTCGTGTCCGACTCTTCGTGACCCCATGGACCAGAGCACGCCAGGCCCTCCTGTCTTCCACTGCCTCCCGGAGTTGGGTCAAATTCATGTTGGTCGCTTTGATGACACTGTCCAACCATCTCATCCAGTGTCGTTCCCTTCTCCTCTTGCCCTCACACTTTCCTAACATCAGGATCTTTTTAAGGGAGTCTGCTCTTCTCATGAGATGGCCAAAGTATTGGAGCCTCAGCTTCAGGATCTATCCTTCCAGTGAGCACTCAGGGTTGATTTCCTTTAGAATGGGTACGTTTGTTCTCCTTGCAGTCTAGGGGACTCTCAAGAGCCTCCCCCAACACCAAAAGATACACATTAGGGGAGAAGAAAATGATGCCTATATTCCAGACAACTAAGGCTCCACCCTATCACCTACAGTTTTGCTGAAGAAAATTATTGGTCCTTCCCAGATACAGCTATTAAACTAAGCAAGCCACTAAGAATGAGTCTCAGAAGGGCAGCTATAAAGGAGCTGGAAAAGATTCTCAAGAGCAAGGATGGCCCACTGGAGACTAAAGCAAAAGTGATCTTTATTATGGTATCCCTAGTTGCTATAGAGGCGAAAGAGGCTGATGGAAGAAAAATCAATTCATTTGAAAGGAAGGGGTTGGAGAAGAGCTTTACAGTTATGAAGGACTGCCAGAAGGACAAATAATTATACAGTTGTTGATGTTGTTTAGTCGTTTAGTCATGTCCGACTCTTTGTGACCCCACGGACCAGAGCATGCCAGGCCCTCCTGTCTTCCACTCCCTCCCGGAATGTGGTCAAATGCATGTTGGTCGCTTCACTGACACTGTTTAGCCATCTTGTCCTCTGTCGTCCCCTTCTCCTCTTGCCTTCACACTTTCCCAACATCAGGGTCTTTTCCAGGGAGTCTTCTCTCTTCCCATGAGATGGCCAAAGGATTGGAGCCTCAGCTTCAGGATCTGTCCTTCCAGGGAGCACTCAGAGTTGATTTCCTTCAGAACGAATAGGTTTGTTCTCCTTGCAGTCCAGGGGACTCTCAAGAATCTCCTCAATTCAAAAGCATGAATTATTCGGCAGTCAGCCTTCTTTATGGTCCAGCTCTCACTTCCGTACACCACTACAGAAAAAAAATAGCTTTGACTATTTGGACTGTTGTTGGCAAGGTGATGTCTCTGCTTTTTAAGATGCTGCCTATGTTTGTCATCGTTTTCCTCCCAAGAGGCAGGCGTCTTTTAATTTTGTGGCTGCTGTCACCATCTGCAGTGATCATGGAGCCCAAGAAAATAAAATCTGTCACTGCCTCCATATCTTCCCCTTCTATTTGCCAGGAGGTGATGGAACCAGTGGCCATGATCTTAGGTTTTTTTAATGTTAAGTAGGACAAATAAAACCTCAGCTCTCCCTACGAGTGAATGATTAAACTGAGGTGATCGTATTTCAGGCACATCACAGGACAACGAGACTCCCTGGAAAAGCAAATGATGTTGGGGAAATAATGCCAAGGCAGGAGGAAAAGAAGGAGAGCAAATATGAGATAGATCAACTCAATAAAGGAAACTACAGCCGTCAATGTTCCAGACCTAAACCAGTCTGTTAAATAATAAGTCCTTTTGTTAATTCACTACTATAATTCATAAACTGGAAATGATTTGATGGCATTGTAACCTTCCTGCCTCCCACCCACACGTGGTCATTTGGGATCAGAGTGTGCCCACTGTATAAAGAACAGAAACCTGATTTATTGTTCAAAAGCAGAACACTGATTTTTCTTTTATTTTAAACGGCTCGTTACCTTCAGCGAGGAACTCACAGCTACAAGAGGACACCCTGCTCGGCAGGCAAGCCCCCTGGGTACAAGAGGCAAGTTCAATGTCATCGCCACTATCCCTGGAAAGAACAGACGGGAAAAAAAATCAAATTCAGGAGAGCGTTCCTGTGCAGACACTGGAGGAGCATGACGTGGAACCGCCTTCCACTAGCCACACAGCTGGTGAAAGCAACCCACATTCTGCTTAAACCTCTCCACATAGAGCCGTGGCAAAATCACCTCCTGTCAAAGGAAATCAACCATTTTTATCTCTGGGTGAGCCTATCTGGCAGTGACGGCAGCTTTGCAATTAGAAGCAAAGCCTCCTTACAAGGTAAAGATGTTGGATTATCCTCCATGGGTGTTTCTGCAGCTCCACAGTCACCTACAAATTCCCTGCCTTGGATTTGACCATTTCCTAAGGAAAAGAACAGAGGAAGCCAGCTGGTTCCAGTCCAGGTTCTTTCTAGAATCTGATAAGTAGCCCCTCTTTATGGACTCAGACATTCATGACACCTGATACCTGGGTCCTTTGTTTTATCTCAACTAAGATTTTGGAGATCCTTTGCATGCAGAATGCATTCTGGACCACTGGGACACACACACACCCCGCAAGAAGGATGACTTTGGCAAAAGGGAAGATACAGTGGACCCTTGACTTACAGACGGCTTGACTTACAGACCTTTTGAGTTACAGACTTCTCTGGCCGCAAAATTTAGGTTTGACTTGCAGACTGAGATTTGACTTACAGACCAGAAAAAAACCAAAATGGAACAAAAACGGCATGTTACGGGATTAATCGGTTTTCAATGCACTGTAGGTCAATGGAGACTTGACTTACAGACTTTTTGTCTTGAGAACCGCCTTCCAATACGGATTAAGTTCTCAAGTCAAGACCCCACTGTAGATCGTTCCTCTTCTTACTCACTGTAAAGGTCAGTCAGCACTGCAGAAAGGTTTTACTTCCTGCCACGCAGAAGGGGGCGAGGCCTCTGGACATTGCATGGCAAAGGACCAGAGTTGATAGCAGCCGCCATCTAGAAACCACATGTGGTTCTCCAGTGAGAATACACAGTGTGTGGCTAATGTATTTATCCATTTACATATGTGTACACAAATACATACTCACAATCACACTTAAATATATAAAAACCAGGAGAACTGCTGACTTAAAGCAGATGTGGCCAACTCTGGCAGCTTTTTGGGGGGAATGCGTTCACCCCAGCACCCACTGCTGGCTGTATCAAGCTTGAAATTACAAAAAAGTTGTGATATTTAGGGTATCATTATTCATTTAAAAAAAAAGGAGAGCCTTCAACCTTCCACATTTACCCATGCAGGGACTCAACTCGATCCAGAATTCCACGTTAGAAAAGTGTGAAGTAATACAGTCATTACTGGCAAAAAGTGAAACAGAACAAGAAAGCTGGCATCAAAAGTGTAGTGGAACAAGGGCCCATGGGGTCGAAGCCCCAGGACTAGGACACAGCAGAGACGATGGCATTCTCCATTATTCTCCCCAGCTTCTAAGCTCCGTCTGAAATCTACATAGTACCTTAAAGAGACTCAGGGATGTTCCCAGAGAGAATATATTGTTGCAAGCAACCCTTGCTATATTTTACGGTGGTTGGTAGGGTTAAGATTTTTGGATTTCTTGAACAACATTCCTAGTGACTCAGACATCAGTAGGCAATTTAAAGTCATCCGCTTCCCTTTAATTGATACGCACTGATCCTGTGGACTCCCCGTATGGAGCAGGGCAGCTTTTGGGACCTGTCACAATGTACAGCTCCGCTTCCATATTTACTACTAAACTACAGCTTGACAGTTCCTCCCTGAAGCTCTTCCAAACATAGGCTCAAATCTCTTCATTTTATTTAAAATACCGTATTTTCTGTGTGTATAAGGTGCCCCCATGTATAAGACACCCCCCCACTTTTCTAATCCAAAATTAAGAAATCTAAGTGGGGCTTAGCAAGGGTGGGGGGAAAGGGATCAAAGTGCTCCAGGATAGCTTTGATCCCTGCCTTCCCCTCCACTTGTTCTTGTTCTCTCCTCAACTTATTTCCGTGTATAAGATGACCCTCAATTTTTAGTCTAAAGATTTTAAACAAAAGTATAGTCTTATACACAGAAAAATACGGTGTTTCTTCTTTCCCCATTCTCCCTAAACCCCTCTGTGTTATAATTTGATGCCAGGTCAAATGTCCCCCAGTGATGGCACTGCCAGATGTCATCTACATCCCTGGCATCTGCCTTGGGTTCTTTTTAAGAAGAAAGGCAGAATAAACAAACAAATGAATAAATAAATTTGTGGGGCCAAACCCCTCTCACGACTGCAAGAGATGGGGCACAGAGGGTGGCCCTGATTTCTGCTAAATACAGATGCAAAATTAGAAATGAGTTTTACCCTTGTGGCAGATTTACAATGCATTTCACTCAATGGAGGGAAATGATGGCCACGTAACATGTACCAGCTGGGTCTTGGTGATTCAGTGCAACTAGCTGGTCTCAGGCAACTTCAAATACCTGTTCTCTCTCTTAATGGTCTTTTGCTATTTATAAAGTTGGACCAATTCATCCTTGAGACAGAAGCAAACTTTGAGAAGAAAACTCTCCCCTCAGTCAGCCCTTGAAAGGGAGGACTGTTCTTCTGCAAAGGCACAGCAAGCAGAAAAGGAAGCTTCTATTGCAAATACCTCTCATTCCCCCACCTAGTGATACAGAACCATAACGCAGCAGCATTCCGAGTTCAAATCACACCACCCTGCTTACCGGATCAGACTGAAAACCAACTCATGCAGCAGTAGTTAATAACCAGCGTCCAAGCAAATATTTATTCCTGCACAAGTGCAATAGCTCAGGATGAGCTGAGGATGGAAAGAGCCACTAATTAATGAGTCCTTGATTGAATTCGTTGTAGCACATCAGTAGCATGACTGGACGTGTGACTAGGAATCAGACCAGGAACTTGTTAATGAGCAGCTATCTGCCACTCTGCATTATGCCAATGCATCCATGTAGCCATAACTATCAAGGAAATCAACCAGGAGGACAGATTCTGAAGCTGAGGCTCCAATACTCTGGCCCTCTCATGAGAAGAGAACTCTCATGAGAAGACTCCCTGGGAAAGACTCTGATGTTGGGAAAGTGTGACAGCAAGAGGAGAAGGGGATGGCAGAGGACGAGATGGCTGGACAGTGTCATCAAAGCAACCGACATGAATTCAACACAACTCCGGGAGGCCGTGGAAGACAGGAGGACTTGGCATGCTCTGGTCCGTGGGGTCATGAAGAGTCAGACACGACTTAACAACCAAACAACAACAGCCATAAATATTCACTTGGACGTTAGATATAATATTACTTACTTCTTTCCGGAAACCTCGAGGCTGTGAACAGAGCTCCCCACCCTATGATTTGCACAACAACCCTGTGAGGTGAATTAGGATTTGACCAGATTGAAGGGCAAAAGTCTCTGAATATTGGAGAGAGAGAGGAAGGAAGGAAGGCTGGATTTTATCTTGAGGCCACTGAGTTCCCAATCTCAAATCCCAACCACCTCGTCTAGAATTAAATTCAGAGAGGTGAGCTTTCCGGAAGGACAAGAGCAACCCGAAAATAATAATAATAGTAAAAAAGGCAGCTCTGTGATATTTCAAAACACAAAGCAAATGTCAAGCTTTCTGCTCCGCACAAAAGCTCCTTTTCCCTTCCCTGGCAGGGAGCAAGGATGGAAGTTTGCGTTAAGTTTGCTTCATCAAGAAACCGGTCCTGTGGCGCTTAGGCCAGTCTCCATGGCAACCCCTCCTGCTGAAGGGCATTTTTCACATCTGCCCAGCTGAATTTAGCTAGGGCAGCAGGACCGTTTTAATGGAAGGATTTAGGAAGGGCAAAAGGGAGTTAAAGCACAAGAGATAAGAGCTGGGTGGGCTGACTTGATTGACTGATTGCATTTATATGCTGCTTTTCTCCTGGGATGGCGACCCAAAGTATCTTACAAAGCAGCTAAAAATAAAATAAAAACCCAGGAAATTAAAATGCAATACAGTCACCAGCCCTAAAATAGGATGTCACTCACTGGGATATTAACACAAAAAAATCAAAATACCACAAAATTGTTGATTAAAAGCATTAAGGTTCATTGGCCTTGAAATCACACCTCATTGTCTGCCTTTTCCAACAGGCTTTCTTTAAAACACATTTCTGTAAAAATGGAGTATGTGTGTGGTGTGGATTTGGGGACCTGGATTCAAGTCCTGGCTCGGCCACGAAGCCAGACACATTGCACATGGCCCCAAATTTACTGAAATAAAAGATCTTTTTTTTAAAAAAATCAAACTTAAGAAACGCGTCGGGGAAATAAAGAAGACAAGTACAGGTTATGAGAGGACACTTCAGGTGGGAAATCTATGGTCTTTCTAGGGACACGGTGAGCCGTGTGGTGAACTTGCTAGCTCACAAAGTGTGTTTGTACCTTCTGCAATTCTGAGCAACCTCCGAAGAGCTCTTGAATATGGCTGCAGAATCCAGGAACTTGAGAACACTCCTCTCTTCTCTCTCTCCCCCAAAACCAAGTTTCTAGTCCTTACTGTTGAGAAGATGAACTTTAACAGTCATTTACCAAGTTTCCCCGAAAATAAGACAGGGTCTTATATTAATTTTTGCTCCAAAAAACGCATTAGGGCTTATTTTCAGGGGATGTGTTATTTTACGTACAGTCAATCATCTGGTTGATGCACAATGCTGCACAAGGGTGTACAGTCAATCATCTTCTGGTTGATGCACAATGCTGCACAAGGGTGGAGGGCAGAGTTTCACTTAACTAGGGCTTATTTTTGGGGTAGGGGTTATATGACAAGCATCCTGAAAAATCCTCCTAGGGCTTATTTTCAGGTTAGGTCTTATTTTCGGGGAAACAGGTTAGCAAAATGAATCCAAACTTCAGGACCTTGCTGGCCATCTACTAGAAGGAGTAGGGTGGAAAACCGGGCATTACTGGGGGGATTTTTGCTACAATCCAAATTTCAGGATCTTGCTGGCCAGCAAGGAGTAGGGTGGAAGACCGGGCATTACTGGGGGGATTTTTGCTACCCAAAGCAACCTACCTTCAAGACAAAAGTGTTATCCTTATCTGGCATTTCCAGCGGCATGGTCGTTCGCACCTCGATAATGGCCGAGAGAGGAATGCTGACCTTCGCTTTCGAAGCCTGCAAGAAAGAGAACATCAGCCAGTGCCATTACTAAAAATACGGTGTCTTCCATGCTGTTGGGTAACATCAAGATCTTTTAATTAAAAGCCCAGCGCCAGCAGGATAGCTTGATACGCGTCACTTCCATTTCTCTAATAAACTGTTGTGTGCAAGTGCCAGCGGCTGCATTAATTCCTTCATCTTCACCGAAAAAATTTCTCATAAATAAATAAATAAATAAATGTAAGTTAATGCCTTCACAAAGAGCTCCGAACAGACCAAAAATATATAAAGTGGAAAGACAAAATAATTAAGACTGAGGCAGGCAATAGAAGATGGTGCGTGTCCTCCAGAAATTTGTTTGTCAGTGTAACTTCGTTAGGATTAAGGCAGACTATCGAACAGGGCCATTTATTCTGAAACTTCTCGCGCACGTAAAACGCTCAGAAGGATAAAACTGTCCAGAAAGCTTGGGGAAATTCAAAAATGATCTTTGCCTATTGCTGCAATAAATGAGGTGGAAGACAAACTTTGGCGTTCCACGCATTGGCCTCTGCAACAGATGAAATTAGAACAAACTAATGTTGGTTTGAGAGGGACGTGGTGGCGCGGCGGGCTAAACCGCAGAAGCCTGTGCTGCAGGGTCAGAAGACCAAGCAGTCGTAAGATCGAATCCACGTGACGGAGTGAGCGCCCGTCACTTGTCCCAGCTCCCGCCAACCTAGCGGTTCGAAAGCATGCAAATGCAAGTAGATCAATAGGGACCACCTCGGTGGGAAGGTAACAGCGTTCCGTGTCTAAGTCGCACTGGCCATGTGACCACGGAAGATTGTCTTCGGACAAAACGCTGGCTCTATGGCTTGGAAATGGGGATGAGCACCGCCCCCTAGAGTCGAACATGACTGGACAATAACTGTCAAGGGGAACCTTTAACTTTAATGTTGGTTTGGGACCAGGTTGAGAGTTCAATTCCCCACTGTGCTTCCTGGGAGAAGAGCCAGCCTGGAGGGTTTTGGGAGCCAGTGGCACAGTAGTCCCAGGGATCCCCCCCCCCAAAAAAAGAGAATGATCAACGAATTCTGAGTATTCTCTACCTGGAAAACCCTACAAGGGGTTGCCATGAATCAGAATCAACTTTATGGTACACAGTTGTTATGATCAACTGTGACCTCTGAGTAGAGTGAGCAGAGAGCAGAAAGTATGGACATCCACTGCCCGGGAAAGTTACTTTTTTAAAGACTTCAATGCCCAGAACCACTGGCAACCCTAGTGTGGGGGATCTGGGGGATTGTAGTAAAAAAAATTTGGGACGTGGTGGCGCTGCGGGCTAAACCGCAGAAGCCTGTGCTGCAGGGTCAGAAGACCAAGCAGTCGTAAGATCGAATCCACGTGACGGAGCGAGCGCTTCGAAAGCATGCAAATGCGAGTAGATCAATAGGGACCACCTCGGTGGGAAGGTAACAGCGTTCCGTGTCTAAGTCGCACTGGCCATGTGACCACGGAAGATTGTCTTCAGACAAACGCTGGCTCTATGGCTTGGAAATGGAGATGAGCACCGCCCCCTAGAGTCGAACATAACTGGACAAAAATTGTCAAGGGGAACCTTTACCTTTACCTTTACTAAAAAAAATGGAAAACTTTCCCAAGCACTGTCCATATCAATTGTTTATATATTTTCAGAAGGGGAAGCCCTGCAGTTCATAGGAACAAGGGAGGCCTATCCTGCCTCCATAGTCCCATAGAACTCCTGTGGATATCAGTGTTTTCTGTCACAAAAGTTATTCCTTAATCTGATCATTTTAAACCTAGTCACCTGTTTCATCTGCTTTGTACCTTTGGCTGCTTTTAATATGCTCTATTTTTAGAATCCATTTTATTCACAACCCGCGTTGGGGTTAACCCCTTGATTATTCACATTCACTTTACGCAACCCTCTGTTCATGAGGATGAAAAACATTCCTAAAAAGTCTGATGGATTTTTTTTAAAAAAAGCAAATCCACCAGCCGCTCTTTTCCTAGGGACAAATGAGAATACTGAGTTATAGAAACTGAAGTACACAGTTGAAGACATTAAAGTTCAAAGGCTGCTGAAGGAACGCTCCTTCGTTCTCCTTGGAGAGGAAGGGAAGGTTAGAAGGAAGTGAATGGAAACACGATCGTGGCCTTGTTTGGCAACAACAGCGCTGGCTGCAATGGGATTTTCCCTACGCCTTCGTCAGGGACACTCCCGGTGGCAAATTCCTTTTGGCTCGATTTTCACAGATTGCTATGACGGGAGGAAGGGTTTCGTGTACGATGAGGTCTGAATAAACACACACCTGCTCACGGAGGCTGCAAACCCGAAACTGCCCAGTCCGTTTCACACCCAGCTGTCGCAACAGCTGGCCTAGCAAAAAAAAAAAAAAAAGTCCCCTGGACAATCTCCACGGTTTCATAAAAGAAACACACCCCACACATCTCTGTGTGAAACCAGGAGGTCACAGAATGGAAGCTACGCCGTGAAAAAGGAACAAAGAACAGAACTAGAATTGGGGCAGTCCAAGTCCTTCTGTTGCCTGAGGCAAAATGATAAATAGCACCCTCCGGACACTTAAGGGCCCTTTCAGAACACTTCTCTACCCTCCCCTTCTGCTGGTACCAAAGAATGCAAAAATCCACTGAGATTTGCATCCAAACTTCTCTTTAACACTCCAGTTATCTTGATAAGAAATCTTTAAGAAGATCTTTAAGAAACTATTAAGAAAACAACTTCTCTTCTTGACTATCTCTACTGATGGACTGAAAGCTTCTGACTTGGAAGCTGTCCCCGCAGACTTCAACTTCCACTAGAAGCCCTGTAGCATCACTCCTTGCTCCTCGGAATGAAGCAACACCAAAAATAAACCAGCCTTTCAACAGGGATTAAAAAGAGCAGAAAGTCTTCCCGGAAAGCACTGTACTAAGCACGGCACGCCTAGTGTCATATTGATGGAAGGAAAAAAGAAAGAAACACCTACCAATACCGCCAACTGCAGAACCTGATATTTTAAGAAGGACAAATGCTGCAGCCAAAACATTCCTGAGACAAGATGCCCACCACCCAAAACTGGCCAAGTTATATCTGGTATATTAGTTAGGAAATCCATCAAACACCTCACTTCCTTTCTGGCAATCATAATACACTACAAACTGATTTCATTAAGTAACAGTTTGGACAGTTTCACGGTGGATAAAAATCAGTTGGTCCAAGATATGTCAAGGATCGTGTCTCCCCTGATGAGCCTGCCTGGGTGTTAAGATCATTTGGGGAGGCCCTTCTCTCCATCATCTTCACAAGTGTGTTTGTTGGGGGACAAAGGAGAGGGGACTTCTCTGTGGCTGCTCCCAGAGACTGTGGAACTCCCTCCCACTGGGGGCCAGCCTGGCCCCTTCTTTGCTGCCCTTCCACAAGCATGCAAAGACCTCTCTCTTCAGGCAAACTTTCCCTCAATGAATGACAGCTTGAGTGAAGTTTTCAAAGGGATCGTTCTACTCCTCTACTGCTTTGAATGTCTTTTTGGTCTTGCTTTCGTTTTGGTGTGGCACGCTTTTTAGCATGGTCTCTGTTTTATGCTTTTTAGTATTTGTGTATGTACTGTTCCCAGCTCTAAATATTGGTGTGTGTTTTTTTTAAATGATGTAAGCCTCTGAGTCCGTTTTAAGTAGGTAGGCGGAGTAAAACTGTTTTAAATAACTAAATAAATTGTGAAGTAACAGCTGCGACAGAACAACACCCCACATTCCTATTATTATTGTGCTGAAACCAAAAAGGAGTTAACCAGAAGTAAATTTTTGCCTGGAATGTAAGAATGTGACCTCCATTCAGCTCTCGTACTCAGAACAAATTCTTTTATACTAGGTGCATTAAAGACAACTGCCCTGAAAACAATGCATCTCCCTCTGCCAGATTTACAGCACTTAATTTTCTCCACATACTACAGTAATTCACAGGGACGGTGGGCTCTCTGCTGCATAATAAGGAAAGGGAGGAGGAAGTTAGGCTGGATCCGTCAAAATTGGTGATGAGACTCCACTAAAGAACAAGAAAGATCTACCAATAGGTTCACAAGAGCACGACATGGATAGTGTCATTATACATCTTAGCCACTAGGTTGCACTGTACTTTTTGCAGCTTTGCAGAATCTACAACCTCGTAATTTTTCTGCTTTCTGTTCGTTTTTCCCAGGGGACAATAAAGTTCTTGTCTAGCTTCCTGACGCAAGGTCTTCTGAACCTTGTTGGTGGGCGTATCCTCTAAGCAGACACACATCCTGAGAAAGAAACACAGGGAGGTCACATAGACAGATCCCTCCACTGCAGAACAGCAGGCTCCATGTATCAAGTCCATCAATTAACAATAACCACATACTTTCTCATCAGTTCAGACTTAAGCAATCATTTCCAGGGATTTCTAGGTATGAAGTACTCAGGAGTGGCTATCCTCATGATGGGTGTTTGGGGCCACTGCGCAGCTTTTCCATGGCCATATACAAGTGCCTTGCACGAAATTCCATCAGCGCTCCATGTTTTGGGTGATCCTGGCTGGCCTGTTTTGTGGGAGGCACACTAAGGTTTCAAACACCCAACCCCAGGCTCTGCAGCCATGTGCTCCAACACACTGGGCTATCGAGGCAGCTCCCCAGAGCGCAATGTTTATACAGTAACTGAATGGCATCTACACCACAGTTCAGCGGTTCCCACTCAAAACCCAGACTCCTTAGCATAACAGCTAGTACCGCTATGATAGGGGAAAAAATTCAAGGAAAGGGAAGAGGGACTTCTAGACGTAGAAGAAAAGAACAATGCTGGGACAGGATGTCATTTGAAAGCAAACTCAAAGGAGTGACATTAACAAGCTACTTATCAGTCATCATTTGCCAAACTTTTAAAGAGAGCGATAATCAATTATGGAGAAAAAACACCAGAGGAGAGGGAAGCAAAGAGACAGGAACATATATTTTTTTTTTAAAAAAAAAGAAAATAAAAACAGAAGAATTCCAACACTTTTATAAAGAAATAGGCTTTGGGTGGTAAGGTTGAAGAGGGAATCATGAAGTTGGAAAGGGGCCTCTAAGGCCATCAGCTCCAATCTCCGGCTCAAGGCAGGAATCCAAATCAAAGCAGATCTGACAGATGATTTTCCCATTTTCTCTTGAATGCCTCCAGCGTTAGAGTGCTCACCACCTCCCGAGGTCACGAGTTCCATTGATAACTTTGGCCCTGAATATTGAATGGAGCTGCATTTCAGTGGCAGCCATTGAATACACAAGTCCCTTGGTTTGATTCCCAGTGTTTCCAGTAAGAAGGATCTGTGCTAGCCAGGCCATATCTCTGTCTGAGACCTTGGAGAGCCATGCATGTTCAAGCAGAGAATCCTGGTCTGGATGCAGCAAGTGATGATCTCAGGATGTCTCCACAAAACAGCGGCACAGCATGTGGTTTATAAGATAAAGCTCTTAGGACTTGAAAGGATTCATAAAATAGGAAGCCAAGGAGATACCTGTTCCTAACAGAGGGACCTGGAGAGCCACCAAGCAGGTAGCAGCTTCACACCAGATCACGGTGGACAACCTCTGGGACTTCATTTCTACATCTCCCAGGTCTCAGCACTAGCCCTTTCATGTGAAGCTGGAAACTCCAAGTAATTTAGGGCGAAATAGCTTCCAGTTTCAAAAGCAAGCAAACCAACCAAGGAAAGATCCCCAATCCTGATGTTCTGCTTTTAAAAAGGTGGAAAGAAAGAAAAGGCAAACTTTATTTTTGAGGAGAGTGCTCAAGGCTTGCAGGCCTGGTACATCTCATTCGCAATCAATCATGGTTTTTTTTAGATATTATGAGAGTTCAGGAGTCATAAAACAGCCTTGGGATCCAGAGGTCACATGACTTCCCTCCTCACAATACCTTGGGTAAACCAGGTATTCTTGGACTGCAACTCCCAGAGACTCTGGCTAGCACAGCTGGCAGTGAAAGTTTCTGGGAGTTGCAGTGCAAGAACACCTGGGAACGATTGTACTAGATTGACCGATGATCTATTGACTTACAGTGGCTTTACAGACAGGAGAAGGATGTGTTCAGAAATAACGAAAACCAATGGTTTATTGTTATGGGAATCAGTCTTCTTGTCAAGGGAACGAGTCTAGGTAAGTTTTGGCTAAATGTGCTCCTTCCATCATCTTCCCTCTCCTTCACCATGAGAACAGTGGAAGCTTTTCCATCCATTTTTGGTACTTACTACTATAGCACTAACGCAAAGAAACATGGGTTAGTAAAAGCCTTGTGATGCAATGGCTGAACTGCAGTACTGCAGCCCAAACTCTGCTCATGGTGAGCATTTGATACTAACGTATCTGACAGCTGGCTCAAGGTTGACTCAGCCTTCCATCCTTTCGAGGTCAGTAAAATAAGTACCTAGCTTGGGAGTGGGCAGGAAAGTGCAGCCTATATAATTGAAAAAACGATAAACTGACCAGTGAGCACTAGAGATGTAAAATTTCCAAAAAGTTCATTTTTTTCGGAAAAGGACAGGGTGTGTGGCTCCCCCCCCCCAAAAAAAAAGTTTAAATATCAATTTCTCAGTTGATCCAATCTAGGCAACTTTATATACATACATTTTTTTCCGGGAGGGGGGCATTTCCCATTTTTTCCAGAAAAACATTGAAATTTTCTGAAATTTTACGTACATCTCTACCATGGGGTGGTATATAAGAAGCACACTTTGATTTTTTTTTTTAAACTCCAGCTTTCCTAAATAAACCAACATCCCCTTCTGCGTTAGAATCATTCCAGACTTAAGACAGATCCATTTGGTGTTCAAATACATTCTTCAGCTTCCCATGCCCGTGCATCACAGACAGTCTTTTTCCCAAGACGATAGCCACTGGTCAGAAACATGAACTGGTATTGCCACAGAATTAAAGAAAAAAACATCCAGTTCACAGCCACCTCATGGTGAACATTCTGGGGTCATCAACCACAGGGGGTGTGGATGTGTTTGTGTGTAATTTTGGAATGGGTAAACCTTCGCTCTAGTGCTCACTACAGGCCAGAGATGTTGGCAAGTCTTCGGGACAGACTCCCAAGTCAGAGTCTTTGGGACCAAGTCTCGAGTCCCAGGTCCCAATTAAAACTAGCTTTTCCCTCCCAGAAAAAAAGGGAGGGGTGGTTGGGTTCCAAGTCAAACCCAAATTAAGTCCGAGTCAAGTCACTGGTGTGACTTAAGTCAACTTGAGTGAAGGAGTCATGCAACCCGAGTCCCTATATTGCTGCTATGAGGCCGTGTCAGTCCAGAAATGGAGGTGGGGAGGGAATATGTCTTTTAAAAAGCTAAAATATCTATTTTAGAACATCTATTTCTGGCTCTGAGTGAGGGGTGGTTCCGGGAGCTTGCTCCTCCAACCTGTTTTGCACAAGAGCCGCAACAACAACATGGGATGGGGGGAAACTGTGTTCCATTCGGAATACAGTATGTATTTTTGGTCAGCTCAGGGACCACAAACTGGCAAAAGCAGTTTCAGAAAATCAATTTTGAGGAACTGTGTTGCAGTCTGCTGGCTACCCCTTGGCCCTTCCAAAGAGGCATGGGATTTCCCTGTTAGGTATAAAATGTAAATTGTAATCTATGAATCAACATTGACCTCATCAACTCACACACAAGGGTTGAGATCCACCATGCTTGATTTTTTTAATGCACTGACATCTGGAGGAGACACGCTCCGATGAAGCATCTTCTGAGTCTCCTCATCAGCTTAACGGCCCACAAACACAAGATTCACGTGCAGGCTCTCCACGCCCCCAGCTTTTTCACTTAGAGAAGTCTGAACTGAGGAGAAGCCTCTTTTGAGTCCTTGCTATCGTTGGACCACTGGCAACTGCAAAATGTTCATAATCTATTATAAATCCCACCAAGACTGAATGGTAGATCCCAGATACCTTCCAGCCCTCAGTGCTCCACAACTGCTAACTGAAAATTACTCCATGGCAAACAACAACAAACAGACTAGACATAGTACTAGTAGAATGAGGAAAGGTCTGGATCCGTGCCATTGCCATTCCAGGGGATGCCAGAGCTGAAAATAAAGAATTGGGAAAATAACAAAATACAGAGATCTGGCCACCGAAACATCTCACTTGTGGACGAAACCCACTTCAGGGGTCCTCGTTGACATCAGAGCTTTGGGAACAATATCAAAAAATTTCATATAGTATCATAAACAGTTTCGGATCCCAGAAATAACACCATCACAGCTACCAAAAATGGCAATATTAGGAAGAACCAGCATACTGTGCCGATATTTGACAGGTTTCTGGTTAAAACGTGTATCTATTCTATAATACTAGTCAATGTTTTTATAGTTTTGATTGACTGTGCCTCTCGTTTTTGAATAATCAAATGAAGCAACTGATCAAGTAGGAAGGTGCTATAGTGTGTGTGTGTCTATGGGATTCTTTACCTTAGGGGGGACGTAGATCAGGAAGGTGCTATGGTGTGTGTCTCTCTCTCTCTCTCTCTCTCTCTGGGATTCTTTACCTTAGGGGGGACGTAGAACTCCAGGAGGAACCTTTCCCCTTCCATCTTCACAGCCTTCCTCAGCATTAAGCGGCACTTTTGCCACTGTGAGCTCCCTACGCAGTTCGTATCGTCAGCCACCATATAGCGGAGGGTCCCTTCCCTCTGAATGTCCACAAGATCCACTTTGGACGCTTGTCCCTTGGAAAGCCAGAGCTTGTGAGTCCATTTCTCCCTGGCGTCACTGTGCTCTTTGTTCCCGGGGGGATAGGGTTCTCTGTCGGACCGCCTGCTTTGCGTCCCTTCCATCCCTGGCTCCGGAGAGGATCTCCGGTGCCACATCTCCTTCATGCCGTCCACCACGCACAAGCTCATGTTTCTCAGGGAGAAGCCTTTCTTGAATTTCGGCTTCGAAGGACCGTGCACAGAGACGTCCTCTGAGCTCCGGGACTGACCGTAGGAGGAGACCTTCCGCGCCTGGACCTGCTGCGACGGATTGAGATAACGGCCGGAGGCCACCGGATGGTCCATGCTGTCCAGAGATTCGGTGGAGGTCTGCTCCTTTCTTGGCAAGAGGTCGCGCCCGTAAGGCATGTGGCAGTTCTGAAGGCCCACAAAGGGCACAATGTTGTATTTGGTGGGGGAGTTGGACACGAAGACCCTGTTGACCTCGAGGCTGAAGATGTCCAAGAAGCTGGCCGCGAAATGGTGAGAGAAGGAGGTGTCCGCCCCAGGGGTGTCGTAGTGAGGGTTCTCCTTCAGGAACTGGCAGAACTTCTGTGCAAAGTCCACCGCAGCAGCCTGGGCATGGAGCTCACAGAATTCCCTCCAGTCAGGAAGCTGGGAGGGAGGTTCTTGGCAAAGGGCATCACCATTCATGATTGGGCCATTCCACCGACGAACAAACTGCTGTAAAGGCAAGAGAGAAAGAGAGGCTGAGAGGATGAGCCAGAGAGAGGAGGCGCAACAAGCAAGGATTACTCTACAGAACCTAGCCACCCACTGGCAGTCTCTTCCCGGAACAGACACACGACTAAAACAGAGGTGGGGTTTTTTTGTTTTGTTTTTTTGTTTTTGTTTTTGTTTTTTGTTTTGCTTGGGCTTTTGTTGGGACATGCTGGTCCAGTTCAGACACGGTGTCTGACTGTGACTTTGCCAGCGACCAAAGACACGGTGCTTTCTGAGGCCAAAGGAGAGAAGATGACGCCTTCCCATAACATACAGAAGTCAACTAGGTGGGCAGAGGACTCTTGCGTCAACACGACAACATCCTCTGCCACAAGAGAAGGAAGCAGGCCACCAAAGCGAGCAGAGGGCAGGTTACGCTCGCCCACGCTTCACCATCGTTCTTCCTGAAGCTCTTACCGCCTGGGGAGCACTGCTTCACTATGCCTAATGGCAGGGCTGGGGCTCAAGCTTCAGGCTCAGATATACAGTACTTGCTCCTGCTCTTCCAAGCTCTGTTTTATAAGCCCAAGGGAGCTGCCCTAACATGTCCAAACTGGCCACAACCAGAACTTAAATTGAGGCTGGTTTGATGGGTTTTTTAAAAATTGCTTTTTGCTAAATCATGAGTTAATCTGCAGGTCTGCTTTGTTTTAGAGAAGACCTGAACCCTTATGAAGTGCAAGAGTCACAAAGCTCAAGAATCAGAGTCCTTAAATGGCTAAATTGAAACCCTCTCTTTGTGGAAGAGTTGGTCGCTCATAGAAGCCGCCTGTCCACATGAGCGACAACATCTCCATGCAAGACTGCAGCTTCCCTGCCGCCAGCAGGAAAACACCCCGTGGTGCCAGTATTTATTTATCCAGTTGCTTCCCTTTGTTTACCTCTCTCAGGTTTGTCAAACCAACGTTTCCTCCGAGTGGGCACCCGTCCACTAAACGAAACAGCACGAATTCCTGAACCAGTGATTTGTGCCCATCTCGGCTCAGAACATCACAAAATAATAATAACAATTAAAAATAATGATCATCTCCAGTCTCATTATCATCTAGATTTCCCCAACCACCGCAACCTTTGATCACGGAGGGGGGGACCCCCTCCCCCAAGCAAACTACAAGAATTGGCATCAGTCCTCCGGCTGGAGGTGGTTAAGTCAGCCAGAGAGGCTCCGGACAGAAAATAGGTTTGCGGGCAGCTTCCTAACAAGCCACAGAGAAGGGGACCGTCTTTTTTTCTTTTCACTCTTGACAGGAGGAGGAAAGCCAAGCCATCAGCTGGAGTCAATTTGAACTCACCCTCAAGAAAGCTAACCAAGAACCCACAAACCCTTCATTATGGTTTGGAAGGCTTCCTCAGAACCAAAGGGGCCACAAGACACAGGCCTTGGGAACGGAGCAGGTCTTAGGGCCGACAACCACATCCAGGGCTCTAAACAAACGGCCAACACCTCCTCTCGCACCACTGCGTCACTCCAATACACAAACCTTCCCCCCCGCCCCAAAAAATAAACCCAATGTCCTTTGGAGGAGAAAAATGAGGCTGAGTGAGGCGTGGGTGCTCTCGCTGTTCTTATTTGTCAGAAATAGTCCCCGTTTTCTGCCGTGGGTCCAACCCTGCGATTCCTCCACCCCCCCCATCCCAATCATCTGTTGTCCTGAAGAAGCACCAGCCTCCGCGTCAAGATCAGGATTCCTCTAGGCTTCTGTACGTGGAATGAGCCGGCGGGTAGCAGGCGGAGGCGGATTCCTCCTTTGCCTCAGGAGGTAAGAGGCCTTGGGAGGGCTTCTCCCATGACATCGCAAGCTCTCTTCAATTTCCAGAAATGCTTTTTTTTCCAGTACATTTGGTTTGCAGTGGTCAAAATTCTTTGGAGGGAACCGGACTGAATATTTGCTGAAATCTGAACATTCTTTCTTGAGTGTCAATGGTGTGTATCAGCCGCAATAAGCACAGAAAGAACATTTCACATCCTGGATTTTCAGGCTTGTTGTCCTATATATACCCGCCCAATCATGAAAATCTGCTGGTGGGTGGGGAGAGCTCCTCCGTGTGCCACCACAGAGAATGGCCCACTATGCAGAGACACAGTGACAGGTCTTTCTCGGCTGCAGCTTCTTGTTTATGGAACGCTGTCCCCTTAGATCACCGAGAAGAGAAGAATCCCTAGAAAAGACCCTGATGTTGGGAAAGTGTGAGGGCAAGAAGAGAAGGGGACAACAGAGGACGAGATGGCATTTCTTAGAGGAGTCGACTTGACTTGATCCAGGTTTATGCACCAACCACTGATGCTGAAGAGGCTGAAACTGACCAATTCTATCAAGACTTACAACACCTTCTAGAAATGACACCAAAGAAAGATGTTCTTCTCATTCTAAGGGACTGGAGTCAAGAGATAAAAGAAACAACAGGGAAGTCTGGCCTTGGAGTTCATAATGAAGCAGGGCAAAGTCTAATAGAGTTTTGTCAAGAGAACAAGCTGGTCATCACAAACCCTCTTTTCCAAAACACAAGCAGCGACTCTACACATGGACATCACCAGATGGGCAATACTGAAATCAGCTTGGTTATGTTCTCTGCAGCCAAAGATGGAGAAGCTCTACACAGTCAGTAAAACAAGACCTGGAGCTGATTGTGGATCTGATCATCAGCTTCTTATAGCAAAATTCAAGCTTAAACTGAAGAAAGTAGGAAAAACCACTGGGCTAGTCAGGTATAATCTAAACCAAATCCCTTACGAATACACAGTGGAAGTGAAGAACAGATTTAAGGAACTTGATTTGGTGGACAGAGTGCCTGAAGAACTATGGATGGAGGCTTGTAACATTGTAGAGAAGACAGCAACGAAAACCATCCCAAAGAAAAGGAAATGTATGAAAACAAAGTGGCTGTCCAACAACGCTTTACAAATAGCAGAGAAGGGAAACAAAATGCAAGGGAGATAGGGAAAGTTACAGAAAATTGAATGCAGACTTCCAAAGAATAGCAAGGAGAGACAAGAGGGCCTTTTTAAATGAACAATGCAAAGAAACAGAGGAAAACAATAGAAAAGGAAAAACCAGAGATCTGTTAAGGAAAATTGGAGATATTAAAGGAACGTTTTGTGAACGATGGAAAGAACTCTGGTTTTTTTGAGTGGTCATCTATGAATTCGCACTTCCCACCCATCCTTCCCTCTTCCCATCACCTAAGTGTATTGCATGCTGGGCAGCGGAACTGAGGCTCTCTATGCCATGGGCAGAGCACGCACAACCAAAGGGGGGTCTTAGCAAACACGTGAAAAAGCTCTAGAAGTTCCCGAGAGTCTCTGCACAAGTGCACTAAAACCCACTTGTGTGCATTCACAGAGACCACAAAGAAGGGGATTATATTGTAAGGCATCAGTAGTTTTCTGTCTTCAACTCAAAGAAGAGAACCTCACTGGGATTCCGGCTGATCCAAACCTATCAATTAGCATGCAAGGAGACTATTCACCCCATCAGCCTGGCCTCTAATTATAAAGTATTTAGATAAACTTATCCTCTACTCTTCTGCAAACGGTCTCCACGATGCTTACAATAAGATTATATACAGCAATTCCAAGACAATGCATATTGTTCTGAAGGAGCTTAAAAGTTGTGGGCAAATCAACATGTGTTATTCTGGCACTTAGTCAAGAACATCCACCCTGATGGAAATGAAACACTTTATTACTGACTTCTCAAACCACAATGTTGGTCTTCTTGGTCAAACCAGTGAAATAATTTCCTCGTGTATTTGGCAACAGCAAAATTGGGCTGACTGCTACTCTACTTTGAGAGAGCTTTGGCTGCTGTAGAACTGGATATAAATATTATTTATTAAAAAACCACACACACACGTATGTACACTCCACTGATGGGAATGGTAAATCACAGAGTGTCTGGTGGATTGTGTCCACGGCTACATAGAGGGCCTATGTAAAACGGCACAGGGAGAAGAAAGCAATAGCCCTAACCCATTTCATGAAGGGGGTGTCAGTAAAGTGTGAAGCCACATCCTAAAACACAGCACCTGATGGGTGAACTGTTGGGCACCAGCCACATGCGATTTTTCTCTCTCTTTGGTTTCAAGAAAAAGTGTTGAATGAAAACTTTCCTGGCAAGTGTTTGGGGATGGTGGATTTTCCAGACGTTTGGAGGCCACCCAGCCCTCAAGCTCAGATCAGGTGACACAGATGGTCCCTGATGGCTTTTGAGGACCTGACGGATCACCACGGAGTCACCTGCCTCTGGTCCAGCTATGAGCTGCAATACCTCCCCCCACCTGTTGTGTTAGAGGCGCTGTAGAGCAAGAGAGAACAATCCAGGGCAAGCCCCTTTTCTAAGAAGCAGTCATAGAAGGAAAGTCTTCACCCCTAGCATAGATGCACCAAGGTTTATGAACAGGGAGTGTTCCAGATACAGTATTGCCGAAATACAGCTCTCATCAACCTGGTCCAACATGCTCAACACTCGGGAATCAAGGATCCTGCAAAGTACAGATAGCCCCAAGCTTCCTATTCTCATTATACGCCACACTTGTTTATTCTAGCGCTTTAGCTGTTTTGGTCTCTTTTCACTGAGGTTCTTTTGTTTCACTTGCCTTGATTTGTTCGGGAATAAGCTGATGTCAAAACTAGATTACAATAGACAATTGCAACACACACAGGCAGTCCTCAACTCTGTAAAAACTGCCAATGCCAAATAAAGCAGCGATTTTCAACCACTGGGCCTCCTTCTCTACCCCATGTACTGTATCGGAATTTCCAGGGAGAGGTGTGTAGTTCAGGAGGGGAGAAAAAAACCACCAATGTTAACAACACTGAATGGGAGGGAAAAAAACCCAATTACAGGTATTGATTTCTCTGTTGTAATGGGCTGCCCAAATTGTATCCAACATACTGAGGCATTTGAGATACAAAAGGAGGGATTGACCACTGCCATCTCCCAGTGAGTTTCCACGGCCAA